ACCGCTTTAAAATGAGTTGGCCAGACACTCGAGAACAGCTGGGTAAAATTATGACTGCCCAGCCATGGAACACTCAGCGTACTGCTGAGTCACTCAGGTGTTGTTAGGTGACCATGTGCAGCACAAGTGTGTAGTGGCAGGAACCCGAGGGATCAGAAGGGTAGATTAGGACAAGACAAGTGTTTCCTGACGCTGGTCTTAGTCACATGATGACCCGCAGCTGGAGTTTTTGATCCTCTGACTGATGCCTTCCACTGGCTTAGGGTCAGAAGGGATGAACAACGACTGGCAGAATGATGCGTAAATTGTGATAATGGAGGAAATGTTGCCAAGAGAAATGCTGTGAAATGTAAACATGATATGAGGCAGTACATGGAGAAACGAGGTTAAGAGAACGGAGAAGAAGTGCAGCAAAAGAAATGAAAGAATGGCTGAGCATTTTTAGAAAGTCTGGCTGAAACTTTGTAACAGTTTTAGAGACAAATAAGGTCAGAAACCATAGGGAGCAAATGGACTTGTCTGTTGAGAGTGAAAGTGATAAATTGTTGAGAGATGTAAAGAGTTTTTAAGAAAAAACTGACCTCTCAGGTTAAGCTATATTACATAGTGAAACTTTTACAGTATTATATGTATGTGTAAATACATATCCTGGCCTGCCCCAGTTTGGTAAATGATTTAAAATCACTTGTTTCGTGATTTCATTGTTATACAGACTGCTTGTTTAGGCGGGTATTCAAACAGGAGGAGGCTGAAATTAATCCTCGAGATACCACTGCCACGAGTGTCCTCGGATCATGAGAAACATCTAGCTCTGCTGGATGCGTGATCTTTGAAGGATTGCTGGCTCAGTGGCAAGGTGACACGTATGTCGTGTTGCATCTAGAGACGGGACAATGTTCGTGGGGTCGAATCCTGGCCTCCCACTAAATATATATATATATATATATATATATATATATATATATATATATATATATATATATATATATATAACGTCAAAACACTTCAGAAATGGGAAAATACCTGTCAATCATTTTCCCATCGCTGGAGGGTGTTTTGACATTTAATGTTTACGACTTTGCTGATTATTTTGTTACACACACACACGTGTATGTGTGTGTGTGTGTGTATGTGTGTGTGTGTACTCACCTAGTTGTACTCACCTAGTTGAGGTTGCAGGGGTCGAGTCCAAGCTCCTGGCCTCGGCTCTTCACTGGTCGCTACTAGGTCACTCTCCCTGAACCATGAGCTTTATCATACCTCTGCTTAAAGCTATGTATGGATCCTGCCTCCACTACATCGCTTCCCAAACTATTTCACTTCCTGACTACTCTGTGGCTGAAGAAATACTTCCTAACATCCCTGTGATTCATCTGTGTCTTCAACTTCCAACTGTGTCCCCGTGTTGCTGCGTCCAATCTCTGGAACATCCTGTCTTTGTCCACCTTGTCAATTCCTCTCAGTATTTTGTATGTCGTTATCATGTCCCCCCTATCTCTCCGGTCCTCCAGTGTCGTCAGGTTGATTTCCCTTCACCTCTCCTCGTAAGACATACCTCTTAGCTCTGGGACTAGTCTTGTTGCAAACCTTTGCACTTTCTCTAGTTTCTTTACATGCTTGGCTAGGTGTGGGTTCCAAACTGGTGCCGCATACTCCAATATGGGCCTAACGTACACGGTGTACAGGGTCCTGAACGATTCCTTATTAAGATGTCGGAATGCTGTTCTGAGGTTTGCCAGGCGCCCATATGCTGCAGCAGTTATTTGGTTGATGTGCGCTTCAGGAGATGTGCCTGGTGTTATACTCACCCCAAGATCTTTTCCTTGAGCGAGGTTTGTAATCTCTGGCCCCCTAGACTGTACTCCGTCTGCAGTCTTCTTTGCCCTTCCCCAATCTTCATGACTTTGCACTTGGTGGGATTGAACTCCAGGAGCCAATTGCTGGACCAGGTCTGCAGCCTGTCCAGATCCCTTTGTAGTTCTGCCTGGTCTTCGATCGAATGAATTCTTCTCATCAACTTCACGTCATCTGCAAACAGGGACACCTCGGAGTCTATTCCTTCCGTCATGTCGTTCACAAATACCAGAAACAGCACTGGTCCTAGGACTGACCCCTGTGGGACCCCGCTGGTCACAGGTGCCCACTCTGACACCTCGCCACGTACCATTACTCGCTGCTGTCTTCCTGACAAGTATTCCCTGATCCATTGTAGTGCCTTCCCTGTTATCCCTGCCTGGTCCTCAGTTTTTGCACTAATCTCTTGTGTGGTACTGTGTCAAACGCCTTCTTGCAGTCCAAGAAAATGCAATCCACCCACCCCTCTCTCTCTTGTCTTACTGCTTTCACCTTGTCATAGAACTCCAGTAGGTTTGTGACACAGGATTTTCCGTCCATGAAACCACGTTGGCTGCTGTTGATGAGATCATTCCTTTCTAGGTGTTCCACCACTCTTCTCCTGACAATCTTCTCCATGATTTTGCATACTATACATGTCAGTGACACTGGTCTGTAGTTTAATGCTTCATGTCTGTCTCCTTTTTTAAAGATTGGGACTACATTTGCTGTCTTCCATGCCTCAGGCAATCTCCCTGTTTCGATAGATGTATTGAATATTGTTGTTAGGGGTACACATAGCGCCTCTGCTCCCTCTCTCAGGACCCATGGAGAGATGTTATCTGGCCCCATTGCCTTTGAGGTATCTAGCTCACTGAGAAGCCTCTTCACTTCTTCCTCGGTTGTATGTAGTGTCCAGCACCTGGTGGTGTGCCCCACCTCTCCGTCTTTCTGTGTGTTAGTTACCATTTGGTCCTAGGCACATGTCGATTAGACACTAGGCCATGTGTGTCAGTGTGTGCGTGTCAGTGTGTGTGTGTGTGTGTGTGTGTGTGTGTGTGTGTGTGTGTGTGTGTGTGTGTGTGTGTGTGTGTGTGTGTGTGTGTGTCAGTGTGTGCGTGTCAGTGTGTGCGTGTCAGTGTGTGTGTGTGTGTGTGTGTGTGTGTGTGTGTGTGTGTGTGTGTGTGTGTGTGTGTGTGTGTGTGTGTGTGTGTGTGTGTGTGTGTGTGCGTGTGTGTGGGGGGGGTGTGAGTGGAGTGAGTGAGTGAAGTAATTACATTTATAGAACAAAGAGAGAGTATAAAAACAGAGCAATAACCCACTCTGCCCCTGCATACCCCCATATTAAGCTCAGAGAGAACATTTCACTGTACAAAGAGCCATAATCTCATAATAAATGGTCGGAATTGCTGATATTTGGGCTCATCCAGATTTTATGGGAATAATTCTTTGTATAAAATTTGGTTAAAATCCGATCACATTTGTGAAAGGTATTGCATTAATACATCAAAATGTAATTTTTCTGCGTTCAGTATGATCGAAATTTATTTATGTTTGGAAAGAATTGCAATTTCCATGGATAGACTGAATAACATTACCTTTAGTTGATATGCAATAACATTTATTTATTGAAATAACGTAGGAGAGTCCCGAACAGGATGGAACACAAAGGTCCCATAACTTGTTGCTGTGGTGGTCCCAGCCTGTACTCATATTGTGAACTGTTGTCTTGGTGGTCCCAGCCTATACAATTATTCCAAATTGTTGTCGCGGTGGTCCCAAACTGTAGGGGATAGAGTGAAGTGGATCAAATTAGGTAAGGTTTCTCAGGAAACAGGGTCTTAGTCATATGATGACCCGCCACTGGAGCTTTTGGTCATCTGACCGAGGCCTTCCGTTGGCTTACCGGTCCGCCCCTTTAAAAATTAGGGTTATAGGTAAATGAAATCTTGTTAACGTAAGTAGGTTCAAGAGACGAAGGAATTGAGAGAGAAACCTTTGACGGAGAAGCTAATAATGGACAGTAAATTTGTGAGCATAAGAAATACAAATTTTACACATAGTGTTCATGTTTACTGTGTGATAGTGTTAACGGCGTGGCACATGGTGTTAACTGTGATACAAGATGTTTACTGTGATAGACGGTGTTTACTGTGTGATAGACGGCGTTAACGGCGTGACACATGGCGTTAACTGTGATACATGATGTTTACTGTGATAGACGGTGTGTACGGCGTGACATATGGTGTGTTTACTGCGTAACACGCGGTTGTTTACTGCGTGACACGCGGCTGTTTACTGCGTAACACGCGGTTGTTTACTGCGTGACACGCAGTTGTTCCCTGAGTGACACGCAGTTGTTTACTGCGTGACACGCGGTTGTTTACAGCGTGACACGCAACACGAATTAGCCTCGGAGGAGGAATATTTCATATCAATGTGAACTTCACCACCAGATTTCTCCTGAAAACTAAATACGAAGCGAGTGAGAGATCTCTTTATTATATTTTCTCGCCGTATCCGAGTAGTTTGTCGAGTGAGATAATTTTAACTTAGAAAGTTTAAAGACAAATACGTGTGGAGGAAGTTCCTCATATATAACACTGCTTAAGGGAACTGCTGCTGCCGCCGCTGCTTCTTTCACAACTCGTCTAGCGCCTTAATCTTACTCGCGAGGCTCCCCAAAGATGTATGTGGAAAAAAAGGTGTGTGTGTGTGTGTGTGTGTGTGTGTGAATGCGGTAGATTAAGAAAGCACTTAAACAGTCTCAGGGAGAAAACACAGGGCAATTGATAACCAAGATACACAAAAAAGAAACCACCCACAGTCCAAGTGTTTACTGACAAGTGTCTTTGACTACTGGTAGCTAACAGGACATTTCCCCCCCCCCATATCCCTCTTATTCTCTTCTCCGAGGCTGTGGGTCCCCAGCTACACCACAGGGAAACCCGTAGTGGTCTAACAGCAATAGAGAGAAGGAAAGGTAGTCAGGTTTGATCCGAAGAGGGTTAAACTCCATTTCTCTGGATCAAGACCCCTTCGCAAGCATCAAGGCGCGCTCCTCCTTGAATGATTTATGCATTTAAAGATTAGAGTTTAGATTTTGCAGCCAAAGCCGCTAGTTTCCTGTGCACTCCAGATTCATCTTGTGAAGGGTAGCGCTGGGACATAGGTAGCATACACAAAAGACCAAGGAACTAGGACCCCCAAGAACTAGGACCCCCAAGAACTAGGACCCCCAAGAACTAGGACCCCCAAGAACTAGGACCCACAAGGAACTGGGACCCCCAAACGAAATGAACAGGAGAACATCTATGACTGCTAATGTATAGTTATTCTTCTAAAGCAAATATAGCTCTAAAAATAGATAAAGAAAACAATGTTACCCTGATAAAACTCACATGTCTCTTATTTAATGCATAAAATTCTCCTAATGTACTTTAGCAACTTGCTCTGATCCCATAGAATAGCCTAGATTAATATAATGTAATTTTATAACCTCTTCCTTTGGAAATTCTGTCCTTTCTTTCGCAAGCCAATATAGGATATTTGCTTAGTATGTCTCGTATATTATTTTTCATATCGCACTGGTTATTACAGTATTAAACAATATTAAACAAATAAACAAATACGCAAATGACGTGGAATTCTTTGCAGTTCCTCCTCATTTTCTACTAACAATAAACAGTGAGATCAAAGGTTATTATAATTTTAACCATAATTTCTAAACGGGGGGGGGGGGGGACCGGTAAGCCAGTGGAAGGCCTCGGTCAGATGAACAAAAGCTCCAACTGCAGGTCAGCATATGATTAAGACCCGTGTCAAGAAACACTTTTACTGTTTCCCGACAAACCTTACCTAACCTAGTAAACAGTGGTGGGAGCGTAGCCTTGCTGGAACGATTACTAATTAGACATGTGCAACATCTAATTCTTCGTCTTGTAGGTACTGCATACCATTCATGTGTAACTTGCTGGAACACACAACACTCTTGTATCAAAACTAACTTTCCCTTATTTTTAGTGGATTATGAAAAAAGAATACTAAATATACCAGAATCAACACATTTAATTCTTAATATACATTATCACCAATTTCAGCTTCCTCCTTTCCTACCTCTCTTTAAATCTCTTTACTTTCCCTCCTCCTCTCTACGCTGCCTCCCTCATCCGTCATTCCAGGTGACAAGGTGTGGCGGACAGTTGTGTATTGAGGCACAGGTACAGTGTTAGGATATTTTATCGACGAAAAAATTTTTTCCACGAATGGCTTATTAAGTCCTGAAGGAGTCAAAACGTACGTAGGTACCGATCAATACATTTATTAAGTAAATCGTGAATGGCTTCTTCAGTTTTGATGCTCGTGGCGAAACGTTTCCTTAATGCCTTGAACGGTACCCACGTGTCTTACTCGCCTACAACTGAAGAAGCCGTTCCTAGCGAAACGTTATCCCTTCCCCCCCTCGCCCCTATAAGACATGCTAACACCCACACATGTTTTAATTCAAAAATTGGTATCACATACCCTCTCTCAACCCAGTTACTGGAGAAGCCTCAAGCTAACCCTCCTGCCTCCACCAGACAGCAGGGTCGCATGGGGGAGGCAGTAGCGCTGCTGGAGGAGTCGCTGCGCTATGACGCCACCAACAGGGACGCGGTGTCAGCCCTGGCTGGGTTATATAGTGACGCCGGCCGTTCCACTGAGGCGGAGAACCTTCACCTGGCGCTGCTGGCCGCCAGACCTGCAGACCCCGTCGTTCACAACAACTACGCAGCCTTCCTGCAGAAAAGCGGTCAGTACCTTTCTCTCACTCCCATCCATTCTCAACACAATATTATGTGATGTGAAAAGGTTTCGAAAACCGACAAGTTGAAGAATGAGACACCTGTGCAATATTTGGGAATCTTTAGTGAGGAAAGCTTTCGCCAGTCCGCGGCTTCTTCAGTCCAATGCAGAGAAGAACGGTGAAAGAGTAGTAGTTTGAAGTGATCAGTTTCTCAGCCTCGAATCAATGTGTTTAGGTCATCAAGATTAATGGACTGAACATGTCGACACCAGGCTGAGGGAATGATTACCTCCTCCTCCTCCTCCTCCTCATCTTTCTCCGTTTTTTTTCTGTATTGGACTGAAGAAGCCACTGACTAGCGAAGCGTTTCCTCAGTAAAGATCCCCAAGTGTTGCACAGGTATCTCATTCTTCACAATATTAAGTATTATACTTCCACTCATTTATAAGTAATGAAATTTCACTCACTCATTATGAGTACTGCACCTTCACTCACTCATGAGTATTATACCCTCACTCATAAATATGTATCTTCACACATTAATATTAAGAACCTGTGCACCCTTACTGCCTAAGACTGTCACAGACCTTCACTCCCTTATGAGACAAAGTTATTGACCACCTAAACTCCCACCTGGAGCAAATTTCTGTGTATCTCCACTCCCAGCTGAGGAAAATTATTAAGTATCTCCACTCCCTTATTACGGAGAATTGCTATATGCCTACATTCCCCTACTTAACAAAATTAAATAAAAAACTGTTAACCACCTCTGGTGCCTACTACAGACACCGTTGACACCTCCCGTCACCCCTCACCCAGGAGGACAATTCTAGTCACCACTTTCAACAACGCTCTAGGCAAGAAGGATGAACTCATGTCTATTGTAATAGGGCGAGTGGAATTTCTTTACCGAAATTTTGCCTTAAAGGTGGAATTCCGAAATTAAATTCCGGCAGGAAGAGGATCGTTACGCTTTGTCGTGCCCTAAATCTTCCTCTTGATGAGAGGCAGACAGAGAAAGAGAGAGGAAGTCCTCCCCTTGTCTTAACTCCTCATAAAGACTAGAAGGGTCCAAATGACGCAGATGTGATATTTACAGAACATGTTGACAGTGCAGGGCACTTAACGCTCATAACCATAATAAAACAATTTATACAACACGCTAAAAACAAGAGCAAAAAAAATCACCAAACAATTCCAAATAGCCTACTGCGTAAATCAATTTACATAACACGCTAAAATCAAGAACAAAACAATCAACAGACAATTCCAAATAGCCTACTGCGGAAAACAATTTACGCAACATATTAAAAAAAATAACAAAAAAAGTCAACATACAATTCCAAATGGCCTACTACTGACAATAATAGAAAAAACTAAAGCTGCCTTTCAGAACTCGCTTTTATTGTTCTTAACTTGATAAAGACTCCACACAAGAGCGAAACGTCCCAGTGAAAGTTTGTTTGGTAGCCTGTCTTTCCGTCACTCTCCACGGTGCGTGATGACAAGCGCTTTCAAACACCACTGTTGTTACCCAGTCATGTCTGCCTCTGAATGTGATAAACATTTATGCAATTTGCATCCTGTTATGTTGCATAGGTGTTGGTTAGAATTTATTGTTTATACGTTTCACTTATTATTATTAATTTTATAAAAAGGGAATCTACATTATTATTATTATTATTATTATTATTATTATTATTATTATTATTATTATTGTTTTTGTTATCTCAATATTTTATTATTATGTCATCATTTATTTATTAACTGTTTAAATGAACTCTGACTCTTGGCAACACGTCGACGCTATACTTCATAAAATACAACCTTATTTTAGACTAATTTCTGCAGGCGGAAGTCCAGACAATAATTTAACACTAGTCTTCCCAAGTCATACTGTGTTACATGAATTTAACTAACCTAACCTAAACTAACCTATACATGCGTTCGAAATTACACACTAGTTCCTTAAGGTGAAGTACAGTATTTCAAGTAGCAACTCCGACAATTGCCATCTCTTAAGTGGCAACCTTGGCCAGATTCTTCCCCAGCATCAAGGCACCCGACTCTCCTTGACGAGGTCACTGATTGAAAAATAGACACGATCTCAGTTAATTACAGCGGCACCTGCAACACGGGCGGCAGTGCTAGCTAATACTAAGCAACTCTGTGACACATGAAGCCTACTTCTGAAGCCTACCTATTTACATGAACGAAGCCAATTTAAAAGTCGGAACAAAGTACAAAAGAAAAGCCTTTGAACCAGAGCCTAATTTAAATATTTTTTTTTTACGTTGTCAGCCAATTCAGTCACAGCGAGACTAAAAGTCTTCCTTACTCTTCTAAATTTGAATTACCGGCTTGAAAAAAAAAATGGGAATGGAGCCTATTTCAAAGTGAAAACAGTAAAAATTCAAGTAAAAGAACCGTTAATCTTCATTTTCCGTGTAGGTCATCTGATACTGTGATGTTCCCCTCGTCCAGTAGGCTCTAGACACCGACGTTGATGTACAGTACACACCGAGGTGTCTTGTACAGTCACCAGAATAGCAATGCTGATGAACAGTGCATACTGAGGTGTCTTGTACAGTCATCAGAACAGCAATGTTGATGCACTTTACACAGCATGGGCTGTGCTTGTCACATTCTCCCAAGTACACGCCATGGACTAAGAGCCTAGCATTTTCTTTGCTTTTTAAACTTGGAGGATGTTTCCTCATCGTTTAATTTTAAGTGTTGTGCGACCCAAACTAATTTTTTTTTTTCACGAATAAGATAAGGAGCAGTTGAAGACTTTGATGTGACTGTTGTTCATTTCTCTCAACAAGGATTACCTGATAATTTATTTTTACATTGACGTGAAGCACTAAATCTAAAAACTTCTCTTTTCATTCATTATTTAATTTGTGTTTCTAAATGGTTCATATTCCAGATATATTTGCTTTCCAGATTGTAATTATAAGGCCTATTCTGAGACCGAGCCGTGGGGGTGAGGGGGATGAGGGATGGTAGTGATTCCCAGAACCATTAATATATGCATGACATACATCCATGGAGACCAGTGAAGCCCCAGAAGCTCTTACTGAGGGCGGGATGGATAATCTGGCGGAGGGCTAGTCAGTCGTAGTTCTGAAGGTGGTGGATGGCGGGACGTGTAGAGGAAAGGATCAGCTAATCAAAGGACTGGTTAATTAGGGGTCTGGTGGCGTTAATTAATCAGACACATGTAAGGCGAGGGAGGGAGTGTGATGGTTTCCAAGGGACGGGAAGATGGCTCCTTCACGCTGCGCACACACTCCATCACAGCTTTTCCCGGTAAAGGACATACATGACTACCATTATATTGAGAAGCGGTACACACGTGCGAGTCAATGAGCTCAAAGCCTGCTGGAAGTTCAGTGCTTCGTCTGCTAGCCTGACCAATCGGGTTCTTGAACAGCAGTTACCTCCTGGCGCTGAGTTCTGGGTATTTTTGATGCCTCGTTAAACAGTCGAGCAAAATAACTGAGAGCGACTCACAGAGTCGCTCTCAGTTATTCTACAGGCGCTGTGAGATCCATAAGGGTTTAGAACTCAAAAGGAGCACATTGATAATCAGAAAGTTAGTGATTAAGACATATCATAATCTAAGATACAGTCTACAGATGATTAGATAAACTTGAACTAGAATAGATCACGTCAGGTCGCTTATTATTATTATTATTAATATTATTATTATTATTATTATTATTATTATTATTATTATTATTATAATCATTATTAATATTAATTCTTATTATTATACTCGGGCAGAAGTAGAGGACATACGTACAGTGCCTAGGGAATGAGGGGTAATCATGTTTAAACCAATGGAAGGCTTACTAAAATTCCTTAAATCGAGCCCTTCACCAGCATCAAGGTACCCCTTCCCCCACCCCTCAAAGGGGTAAGGTGGGATACGCTTTTCTGAAAAGTGAAATAAGCTTAAAGAATAAGAGGTATGGTATGTGTTTGGAGCGGGGAGTGGGGTTAGGCGTGGGTTTGTGTGCCTGTGAGTGTAAAATTTATTATTACACAGACAGCTGAAAAACCTTTTGGGCGTAGCGTTCTTGTGTAAATTTAAAACTTTCTTCCTGAACATTTGCCTTTTTCCTGAAGGTCGCGGCGAAGCTGCACTGCGACACTACGAGGCGGCACTTGGTCTGGACCCGGAGCACACGGTGGCACTAGTCAACACTGCCAGGCTCATGAGGACCTTACACAACAATAACCAGGCTGAGATGCTCTACAAGAGGTACGCCGCCATACTAAGCACACTTGTGGCACATTATCACATTATTGGGGAAGGGTAACTGGATTTTATCCAATAAAGGGAGGGGTATCTCTAATTTCTTAGAACAAGAGCCAAGCACAATCACCAAGGGTAGTTTCATTCGCAGATTATCCAACGTTACAAATTCCTTCTTCTAGAATGGCCCTGAACCCATAACGTGCCTCTGTAATCTCTGTACATCCGCCCACAGAATGGTTTTATGATTTTTTACATATGAACCTCACACCAGGATAGCTGTGGTAAGCTATAGCTCAAGCCCCTTCACAGCAAAATCGTAGTGATATTGTCCTTTTGATTTCAGGAATCATACATAAAGGCTTTGAAGAAACTTGAGCCATGTTGGTATGAGATTCGCATGTAAAAACCTGCATTTGTGGTCGCTGAGGAAACAGGGTTACTACCGCGCACAGGATGGGTACGAGGCGTGCATGATAAAGATATCAAAGTAATACTTGCATGTTTGTATTGTGGATGGACAGAGCACTGGCGGTGGAGTGGGAGGCCGAGATCGGCGAGTCTTTGGGCAAGCTGTACCTCAACACTGGTCGTCTGGAAGAAGCTGAGGCAACCTTCACCACTGTACTCACCCACCACCCACACATGCTTTCCTCCACCGTCTACCTGGTCAGTTATCTCACATCTTGTGCCACAAACTACCTACTTACCTTTCCATCTATGTATAGCTTCTTTTCCCCTCTCCCTCCCTCCCTCCCATTCACCTTTTTACTTTCGCTTCTACCCTCTTGGTTTACTAACTCTCAAGGTTATTAATTTTCGCACACATACAATCAATCACGGACACACTCCATCCAATTGCTTCTCACTCCCTCACCTCTCTCTCTCTTTCTCGCTCTCTCTCTCTGATATTATTAAAACACTGGTCACAGTTATTAATATTATATTCACACTATATAAAAGTTGTCTCACTTTTTGTTTGGTAGATAATCTGGCTCTCTTTTTCCCAAAAATATAGTTTTCACAACTGCAACATAAGAGCAACACTGACATGTCTTCTAGCACAATGCCCAAAATTTCTTGATTATTTATCTTATTATTTTAATAATTTTAGTATTATTGAATAGCTACGAAGTGTTTTTTTGAGCGCTTTCAATTGACATTAGGAAGTTAATTCTTTTCATCACATTTTGTTTTTTTACTTGAGCCATCAAGTCGAAGAATTTAATTTGCAATTTTGTAAAAACAATGTAAACATCTGAGAAATTTATAATCATAAAAAATATCAGCCTCCACAAAATACTGTTTGAAAGGAAAACCTTCACATTTCTAGCAATATTGGTTGTAAATCTGGCAAATGCTCTGTAAACACGAAGCGCCTCAGGGTATGTACACAGATTATGAATTGTTAAATCAGGGGCTCGGTGAGCATACATAGCCTGTGTGTACCTACACGGCTTTTGCCTAGCCTGGAGTCTTGCGCTGGGCCATAACCCACGCAGTTCAACTCTCGCTCACTCGTTTGCAACCCGTTCTCCAAATTAACGTGTGGTTTCCGACTGTTGAAGAGACGACGATGGCATCCCCACTGCCAGACGTGAACCGCTAGCGTAGATAATTTAGTCATTGGAGGTTAATGGTTAATTGAATGTATGAACGTCTAGAAGAGCACTTCGGCAAGCCTACTGTCCCATGCTAGACAAGTCCTTCTCAAACTCCTTCTCGCTCTTATTGAAGAAGACGTTTCGCCAGAGGTGGCGTTTTCAATCCTACCTTTTCCAAGCCTAATGACTGAAAGTCACTCGTGGCGAAACCTCTACTTCAATAAATGTTTGAGTATCTGTATCTTATTCCCATTACTTACAGTGTTAGCTCTATATATATCTTTTATTTTTATCTGCCTTCTACGTGTATACCTCAAGTCATATTTCTCCCTCATGTGGCTTTCAAGAGAGTGCAGATTCAGAAATCTTTATTCACATCCTTCTCTGTGTATATTCCAATGCATTTATAGCCATTCAGTAGTATGGAGACCAGAACTAGAAAAATAAAAAATATATGTACGTGAATATAGAAATTACCCTTGGTCATACGTCCGCCAGCGCTAGCAGCGGACGTATGACCAATGAAATAGCCAATAACAAGAAAACTGATAGGCCTAGCCTAGGTTACATTCCATACAGAATTTTTATTCATGAAGCCTATGAGCGATACCTACAAGTATGGAACATCCATTTGTGAGTAGTGAAACTTAAGGTAATAAAGTAGACTGATTAAAAGCACTAGAGAATCATGACAGCAATTTATTAGGTTATAAGAATGTTGTAGAGGTATACAACGTTGGTCTACATGCCATGCTAACATAATTCCCACTTCAGTCCATTTCGAGATGCGACAAGTCGATCGGAACGGAACTCGGACGCAAGTCGGGGAGGACCTGTACTCGTATATCTGTGTACGAGTATACTTGTACTCGTATACCTTGGGACTTTTGTTATACTTCTTGATACAAATTCTGGGAGTCAATTGTCTTATTAAAGACATTTAGGCACCGCTCTCTGGGATTCAGATATTTGCTAAGGAATCCTTTTCATATCTTATTTGACCAAATTCTACATTGTTCAGTTTAAACTGTAGGTGAATCTGTGTTTTTCCAATCATAGTATTTACCTCTCCAAACCTTTCTTAAGTTACACGGTGACTTCCTACAAATACATTACTCGACCTGTTCATGTGCTGTCAACGACTTTACTCATGCTGCTTTTAATTCCTTCGTCAAGGTTATTTATATAGATAAAGAACACTGGGCCCAAAATATATCCCTGTGGAATGTTACTTGTGACTGGTCTCCATTCTAACTTCCCTTCAGTCATGCAAACTCTCTTTTGCCTGTTAGCCATGCCTCGATCTGCGAGAGAAATTTAACTCCAATGCCAAGTGCTGCCACTTTTATAAGTCTCCTGTGTGTGACTAGCTGAAATCTACGTAAATATAATATTCTTTATCTTGGTTCACCGCCTTAAATGCCTTATATGAGAAGAGAAAGGGGAATCCTGCAGAGCCTCGAGAACGAGATGTAATCTAATTTGGTTCAAGGACAGGAAGGGTATCACCGATTCTTTGCATCAAGAGCCCTCCAGCAACATGAAGAGCTATGTTGAAAATAGTATAAAATACCGACAAGTTAATGATTAAGACACATGAGCAACAGTTGGGTATCTTTATTGTTGAAACGTTTCGCCTATACAGTAGGCTTCTTCAGTCAAATATAGACAGCAAGTGTAGTCGTAAAAAAAAAGATGATGTAATCAGTCCATGGACTGACTACATTATCTTCATTTCACTACTATACCTGCTGCCTCTATATTTAACTGAAGAAGCCAACTGTATACGCGAAACGTTTCAACAATAAAGATACCCAACTGTTACACACGTGTCTTAATCATTAGCATGAAGAGTTAATTGAAAGTGGTGTGAGGCAGGCACGAGTGAAGCTGCAGCAGCGGAGTTACCTGGAGAGTGAAGGTCTGTTAAGGAAGGTTCTTGATCAGTCACCGGGCCACCAGGAGGCACTCTTCCAGCTTTCCCTGCTCTACACCCACACCAACCGCACGCAGGACGCCCTCACCCTCGCTCAGCAAGCCGCCCATAACTGCTCGAGGCCGCCCAACCTCTGCGCCCGCCTCCACGCCCACTACGGTGATCTCCTCAATGAGAGGCACAGCGTTGACGAGGCGGCACAGGTAAGCCATCAAAGAATGTGTTTAGTTTTACCACGTACATATTAATAAGTGAAAATTCTTGCGATTTATAAGGCCTGTATGATAATTACTGATGATTTATATTATATTATATATATATATATATATATATATATATATATATATATATATATATACATCACTGCATTTGTAATGTTGAGTTGAGTTTAATAAATAAATAAATAAATAAAATAAATATATATATATATATATATATATATATATATATATATATATATATATTATATATATATATATATATATATATATATATATATATAATACTCATACCCACACATACACACAGATGGTATTACACCTATATGCATTCTGTCTTTATAGAGTTACCAGTTAGCAGTTGAGCTGGAACCAACGCTCACCCACCCACATATCAACCTGGGTGCTCTCTACCATGCTAAGGTGAGTGCCACTTAACCTTCCACCTTTTGCCTACACTGGTGCTTTCATTTGTCTCCACCGACCTCTTTAAAATAATAACACTTTATAAAAACCACAATAGTACCTCTAAGGTAACTCTTAAATCTTCATTTAGTGAATAAATGAGTGGATGTGAGTAAGACATACCTAGTCTGCGCCAGTAAGCCTAGCAGACTGCTGATGTAGGTACGTCATGCAGAACAAGACTATTTTACACTTCGTTTCACTGTGTATAAAGCAAAACCTCGTTTAAAATAGAGACTTGTTATGCATTACGTGTCTTTAACTCCGCTTGTTGAATTGTTCCCCAGACAGTAACTTGTAGAGTGCTCCTCTATTCCTATCATCTTGTGCCATCAGTGTCAGGTAGGTTAACAGATGCAATGTCACATTAAGGCGTCTTCCAAGTTACCAAGCAAACTCAAGGCAATGTAATATAACTGAGAGGATATATGCCAGCAGCTGTCTCGGATACAATATTTCTGGTAAGTCTAATGATAATTGATCAGACTATTATTATTATAATCATTGGGAACGCAAAGGCCAGTAGGGGTCACAGCACCTGAGAAATAGCAAAGCAATCAGATATGATCCAAGGAAAGGGAGAGCAGCTCCAATTCCTTAATCCAAGAGCCCTTCACCCTACTTGACAGAGTAAAGTGCTACTCTCTAAAATTCACAATTACCAGTTTTAACGTGACTTAAGAAATCGTAATGACACGATTGCAAATAAACCATACCCCCGGCCGGGATTGAACCCGCGGTCATAGAGTCTCAAAACTCCAGCCCGTCGCGTTAGCCACTAGACCAGCTAGCCACAATAAGATTCATCCAACTAGGTATATTTCTACACCATAGGAAAGTTAGCACAGGCACCTCTGTGACCACAAATGCAAGTTTTTACAGACGAATCTCCAGCTAGCGTGGCCGTGACGAACTCTAGCTCAAGTCCCTTCACTGCCGTCAACATGACTTAAGAAATCGTAATGACACGATTGCTGGAGTTTTGAGACTCTATGACCGCGGGTTCAATCCCGGCCGGGGGTATGGTTTACCACAGTTTTAACTACAAATTCTCCCTGGTAGTATTCCCACGCACTATGTCAATATGCATGAAAGGTGCATGAACTATCATGACAAAATCCTGCCTCAGTTAACATTTGTGAAACTCTGACAAACACACACACACACACACACACCTCAGCGATTCAGAGATCCCACGTTAAATCCCAGGACCTTTTGGAGCATTATACAGCATTAGCATAAATTCCGAATCAATGCAGTAATACCCCCAGTCTAGGACCACCTTTCACCTCAGACCATTTCAGTATTCGTGAAACATTCACACTAACGCTGTGATACGCTTGTAACAGTCAACCCCCCAGTTTAACGCCCTGGCTATCCCCGACCCTCTTGTTAGTGAGGTTGTGCGCCACCTTGAACATAGATTTAAAGAACGCAAGAGAGTCTTTCACTTTGTTCTCACAGTGAAGACCTCTTAACACCATACACAAATATCTTACACACAAAAGAAACTTATGACAGTGTTTCGGTCCGACTTGGGCCATCAACTAGTCCATTAATGGTCCAAGTAGGACCGAAACGTCGTCATAAGTTTCTTTCTCCTATGAGCGGGTTATTTATGTATTGTTCCAGTCACGGTATTGTGTCTCTTTGTTCCTTTTTGAACACCCCCATCAGACAAAATAAATAACGATTAGCAATCTCAGAATACATTAGCTGGAACAAATCATCAAACACCCGCACTACGGAGAGGAACCTTATGACGACGTTTCGGTCCGTCCAGGATCATGGTGGAAGTTGTGGTGAATCGACAGTGATCCAAGACAGACCGAAACGTTAGGAGATTCCTCCTAGGCCTAAGAGTGAGCTTTCGGTGGCATAAGAAATATTGGTAGGCACTGCACAGTGTTTCCATAATGCTGACCTTCTCTTCTCTCCCTCTCTTCCCTCCTGCAGGGTGACTACGCCCGTGCCTGGAGACACTACCTCACTGCCCATGGACAGGAGCCCTCTAACACCCTCCTGCTAGAGAACATGGAGAAGCTGAGACGAGCGCAGGACCTTCATGCACCACCAAACATCCCTCACTGCCTCAACAAGTCCTGATATTTATTTCACGACCCAAAGGTCTCATTCGAATCCTTTCTGAGAACAATTTTAGATTAGTGACAGTTTCTATAAGCTGAAATGGATCTGAAAAGTTAGACTTTTTTTTATAAAACACACACCAGTATACAAGAGGCAGGGGCCAGGAGCTATGAATCGACCTCTAAAAACACAAGAAGGTGAGTACACACAGACAAATCTTAACCCATACAGACAGCTAGATCACACACACACACATACACAGACACACACACACACACACACACAAACACACACACACATACACAGACACACACACACACACACACACGCACACACACACGCACACACACACACACCACACACACACACACACACACACACGCACACACAGCCAACACACACACACGCACACACACAAACACACACACACACACCACAACACACACACCACACACACACAACACACACGCACACACACACACCACACGCACACACACCACACACACCCACACACACACACACACACACACACACACACACACACACACACACACACACACACACACACACACACACACACATACACACATACAAAAGCACATCTCTTATTCACTCTCTCTAACACACCCATCAATACAATACTCTGTTTTTGACAGAACAGAAGCTCCGAGTGTTAAAATTGGCTAATGGGAAAACAGAATATTGAAAAGAATCTGCTTCCATTTCAAGGAAAAAAAACAGTTCACCATAATAAAGAGGACTACGATTCATTTCCACGGAAAAGTGTGGACATTGACAGCGCACTGAGAGAGCAAGTTTGAAGCCAGAGGACCGTCGTTCTCTGCTAGCTCATAGTGAACAAAAGACTCGTTTCAGAACAAGCTTTTATTGAGACGACGTTTTGCTTTGCGTAGATCTTTACAGTCATGATAAAACTCTTCACTGAGCGAAACGTTGTCACAAAAAAAATCATGTTCTTCACGCAAATGTTGACAGACATTAATTCTACTCAAAGAAGAGAATACCGAAAGAAATTTATCACTAAGAACATAAGGCAATTTCACTTGGTCTGGAACCTTAGATTCAGAGACAGAAACTGTTGTTGGTCAGGTTGACTAGAGTGAACACAAGGGAATGAAAGTGAGCTTAAGTGAGCACAAGGTGAGCCCAGGTGAAGCTAGGTGAGCCCAGGATAAGCTCACCTAAAACACAAGAGTGTCGGTGGCAGCCCCAAACACTACTGAAGGACCAAGGCTGCTGCCACTGCTACTGCTGCTGCTGATGATGTTGTTTGTGTGGTTAGAATATAATTCACTGCTGAGTCGTGAAGCCGATCATGTGTGTGTCTGTGTGATTTACAGTTAAGACTGCTATTTATTTATACCAGATTTATAATATGCTGTACGTGCAGATGAGTTCTGTAAATAACACCTTAATATTACGACTCTTATTTTTCCATGATGTCAAGATACTATTAATGTATTATTATTATTATTATTATCATTATTATTATTATTGTTATTGTTGTTGGGAAGCTCTAAATTTCTGAGGGGGTTATACAAGTGTTTGAGGAATGGGAGGTAAACTGGTTGGATCTTGGGAAGGGGAGAGCAGCTCCAATACTTTGGATCAAGATCCCCCCTGCACCAGCATCAAGGTACTGCATCCCTACTTTGTAAGACCCGTTTAGGTATGTTGTTTCGTAGTGAAGTTGAAACAAGCATTAAGTTTATCAGAAGAGTCAAGATTACATAAAACATACAGACCTACCCGCATACACAGACTCCCCGCATAAACAGACCTCCCCGCATACCGACCTACACACATATACAGACCTACATACACAGATTTACCCACATACAGAGACTTCCCCACTTCCCCGCATACACAGGCCTATCTACATACACAGACCTAAGGACACAGTACCTGCTTGCTTGGTGAACGGCAAAGTATTACTGTGTAAGAATATATATATATATATATATATATATATATAATATATATATATATATATATATATATATATATATATATATATATATATATATATATATAAGCCAGAAACTAAATAATACATGCTAAGATGAATTCATATACTTGCCAGGCTTAACCGTGCCCTTGTGCACGACCAACATTATCCTGAAAAATGACACGTACATCCTTGAAAGACAGTGTGGGTTACTATAAGGCAGGATCATTATATTCTCCTCCCACCTCCCCTGGCCTCTCTGTCTCTTCTGTCTTCTGTCTGTCTGTCTGTCTGTCTTCTCTCTCTCTCTCTCTCTCCTCTTCTCTTTCTTCTCATTTAATCTCTCTCTCTCTCTCTCTCTTCTCTGTCTGTCTCTCTCTCTCTCTCTCGCTCTCTCTTTCCAGATTTTAAATGCTTTCAGAGTAGAGTTAGCAGAGTACAGATGGGCAGCATGTCTGCCTTGCTATTATCTGAACAGAATCTAGTTTCTACCACCTACGACAATGAATGACCTATACTGTTTGGAGCTCTGCATCAGTATACTGTAAATTACTGCTATCGATTATTATGGTGTGAGCGTACTGGTACCAAAACTGTCAAGAAGTTTTTCAGATGGAACTTAACTTTTGTGGAAACTGAATTTTTTCCGCACCAATTTCCTACTCTTCATATGACTTCATTATTTTCTACTCGCAATAACAAAGCAAATGAGAATAACTAGTTCCACAAATACTGGAGTTCCTAAGGAGTCTTCTTGGCATCTTTTTTTTCGTCTACATACCAAACTTACAACGTACGAATTCCAAGTCTTAACCATCATGGGCGCTGATTATGAAGCAACTAGCTACATCCCACAAGCCGCCATCATTGGCAACATTCAGAGTCCCTAGCCACATCCTACGAGTCTGAGCAATAACTGCAAAGTTTCTAGCCACATCCTAAAGGCCGCAGCGATGATCACTAGGCCTCTGGCCACGTTTTACAATGATCACAAAGCTTGTAGCCGCATCCTTTATGCCTCAAGAATAATCACCATACAACTAATTATATCCCTAAAGATAGCCACAACCACTGTCACTGCTACTTTCTGGCACTAGATTTGCGCGGTTTGACAACCACTGGTTTTTAACCCTAAATGAGTGTCAACGATGCTCCTAGCTTCTCTCCTTCCTTAATCCTCATTTTCCGTCAACCATCACTTACAACATTTAAAAAAATCGAGTAGTGTCTGCTTGAACAAAGCTGGCAGTCACAGATAAATTACTAGGCATTCGCTCCCGCTCAATTCATGTTTCCTTTTAAAAAACAGACATGAAAGCAAGATACATATGTTCTTGCAACAGCGTGCAACTGTTAAATGTGCGTATCTCTGTGTGCGTATGGATACATGTAAATATCACTGTTTGTGTGTGGTGTACGTGCTTCCACGAACGCGCTAGTGTAAATGAACATTCAACTACGAAAATCTTATCACTCAAGTTGCCGGGACGGATGGTTCACAGATCCTTATCCGCAGCCTCTCCTCTCCAAGATGGCCCACATCCAGCTACGACCCCGCCCAACCCAAACACTTAACATTCATTGCGTGAAGTGTTTTTCTATTAACCTTGTGTTTTGTGTAACAACAAGCGGGAGGCCACAAAACAAGGCCATTCCCTAGCGAGGAGAGCGGCGGGCGAGGGTATCCCCAGTGTGAGACACCTGAATTAGAATGCCAAAAGACTCGAGTGTAGAGTAATGGAATTTCTACTGCGTGCTGGGTGGGAAGGGAGAAGAGCCAGGTGGTGGAGTCAAACTGAGGGAGAGAGTGCCAGTGTGGGGAGAGGACGAGAAAGGTCATGATGGAAGGGTCCAAGTGGAAGGGAGATGAAGTGAAGGGTAAAGAAACGAAGGCGGAAGGGGAAGGAGTGGGTAGTTAGATGGCGATTGAGGACTATAAGCACACATTGTCCATTTTTTCGGGGGGTCAGCGCCCCCGGTCTCAGGCCAAGCCACCTTTGCAAAGGAAATATTACGTGAATAAGAACTATTGAGAAACACACTAAAAAGTAAGAGTTTAATGAATATAAGAAGTTCAATACATTTCTCTGTCCCCTCTTGTTTATGAGGCGAATTAAAAACTGGCAATCCACCCAGAGTGCAGAACGTTTATCAGGTTTCTGTTTTACACACTTGATAGCAGTATTATCCCTGGCGGCTGCTAGCTATTTGGAAAGCCTAGGGAAACACAACACCGCATTTCACTACAAGAAAGTGAGTTGAAAAAAATTTGCCAACAGATTTGTATAATACGAAGACACTTAGAACCTTTAATAAGACAACCTGATAAAAGTTTTGCTTGATCGAAATATTGTCAAAGGTTTGTTCTGGTACAAGTCGCTTTTCTGAAAGTACCCAGAGATCAATGGCACACAAAAAAATCCTATTTAATATATATATATATATATATATATATATATATATATATATATATATATATATATATTTATATATATATATTGCATGCATGCAATAAGATCACAGTAAACAGGTGATATGACAACATGCAGAAAAATCACTGTAACGAATAGTGAACTTCCAAGCACTTTCGTGATTTCTCACATTATCAAGGAACTTTTCCTACACACACACACACACACACACACACACACAAAATATAATATAAATATAATACAACAAATATATATATATATATATATATAATATATATATATATATATATATATATATATATATATATATATATATAAACCAAGTGTTTTCAGTGAAATATATTGGTGAACAGTATTTAGATAACGGTAAAGAGGTTTTTCTGGAATTTATGGATTTGGAAAAGGCGTATGACAGGGTGGATAGGGATGGCAATGTGGCAGATGTTGCAAATGTATGGAATAGGAGGTAGGTTATTGAAAGCAGTGAAAGCTTTTACGAGGATAGTGAGGCTCAGGTTGAGTATGTAGGAGAGAGGGAGATTAATTCCTAGTAAAAGTAGGCCTTAGACAAGGATGTGTGATGTCACCATGGTTGTTCCATATATTTATAGATGGGGTTGTAAGATAAGTGAATGCTCGGGTGTTGGCAAGAATCTAACACAAAGTGGGAGTTGTCACAGTTGCTCTTTCCTGATGACACTCTGTTTTGGGGAGATTCTGAAGAGAAGTTGCAGAGCTTGGATGATGAGTTTGGTAGGGTATGTAAAAGAAGAAAATTAAAAGCGAATATAGAAAAGAGTAAGGCGATGAGGATATAAAAAATAGGTAACGAAAGATTGGATATGAGATTGGAGGAAGAGAGTATGGAGGAGGTTAATGTATTCAGATATTTAGGAGTGGAC